AGGATTGGACGTGTTTTTAAACTTGCATTCCCTGACGTGACCCGAAATTACTATCTTAAATTCTTGACTTCTTATTCAAGCAAATATGACCGATAATTTTAGCTCGAAGATATCACCGCCATGATATTTTTATGGCAAAAGAGTTTCTAGTTTATTCCAGAACGCACGAAAGTAAAAATATCGTATGGGGGTTTGAAGGTACTTTTAGCCCCTCACCTCTTCCCCCGATTTCCTTCCTTTCACCAAAGCTAGTTGTAGTCATGTCGCCTTGAAAAAATTATTGCTAATCTTCCCTTATTGGAATTTGATTGGAGGAGGGGCAAGGACGGGCTTAATTTACATGCTGGATAACGGAAGTACCAATTTACAAATAAATAACCCAACAAAATGTGAAGTGATTGATGTTGCTCAAGATCAGCAAAAGATTACTTGATAAAAATTGCTCAGGCTAAAATGAATTTCTCCATATGTGGCTTCTTCTAATAGCTGAAAACCCTGCGTTTTCACGTCATCTCGTGAGACACTGGCATCCATTGTAGGTTGTTTGTAACTTGAGGTAACATCAATTTCTGGATCATACCCGGCTGTAAGAATGCTGCACACTCTAAAGAAAAATAAATAAGCTTTCAATAACACTTAGAAGAATGAATTAAGCCAAAAAGGTCCGTATTTCTCAGTCTCCTAGTTCTTTTTATTATGCGTTTTTTATTTACATTTACTGCAAATAAAAACATATATTGACGAAAAATTTCGAGCAGCCTTATTAAAAACTTTTTCGAGCAAACACAAGCTTTTACCAGTGTAAAATACAGTTCTGCCCTGCTCGTTTGATGTCCCTGAACTTTTTTTTGAAAAGTCTTACGTTTTATTGAGTTTCTTTGAATAGGCAAAGCGAGGCTCATGAGTTTTTGGATCCCGATAATAGTAGTTACAGACAATCCTTGCATTCAGTTTCGAGTAAAGCTGCTGTCCAAAATATTCGTCTTCGCTTTGCATTCTCAGTATTTTACCTTCTCTTAATCGTTTTACAGGAAATATTCCGGATCCTGGTGATAATCCTTCGTTGCCTGGAAGAAAGTACTCGCAAAAACAAAAGCCGGAAGCTAAAGGCTGACACTACGATTTTGTGAATCTAGTAAGGGTAGCTTGTCACTCAGTTTACAATTCAAGAAAAAAACACTGTGAAGAAAATATCATGATTGACAAGCAATTCAAAAAAGCGTAACTGGGCATAACATCTGACTTGCAGAAATGCATTTTTTAGTAGAAATGTGCCTCGCGAAAATTTCAGGTACCTTTCACAGTTGGGGTAGCGTCGCACACGTGCCATTGATTAGCATCTTTTGATAACGCCTGATGAAGCCACAGCTCATTCCACACGTGGTAATGCCAAATCTGTATCAATTTTTATTGCTTTAGCTTCTGGAAAGAAATTGCAGAAATCTTATATTGAATTGTTTGTTACTTTCACATGTGTGTGCCAAGCAGGCCAAGCTATTTAAGTCGTTTTCTCGTACTATTTGATTGAAAAATTGATTTATAAAATTTTATGCTTTTTGGAAGTTTTCTGACCTACATAA